GCTCCTTGAGCTCCTCCATGCTCCTGGAGCCGGGCAGTCTGTCGTGGATCACCTGCAGGGGGAGGTTCGGGGGAGGTTTGGGGGAGGTGTGGGGGGAGGGGAGGCGGGGAGGCGGGCAGTTCGTGGGTCACCGGCCAGCGCAGGTCAAACTGGCGGCACTTTTCAAACAGCGCGTCCGTCTCCTCCTTCGTCCACGTGGCGTGCTGCAGGACGGTGGCGTACTCAGAGTCGGAGTAGGAGAGGATGCGCACCGTCTTGTTGAAGCGCGCAAACGTGTACGTCGTGTTCTTGTCGTTGTTCTTCTTCCAGTGCCGCAGCCGAAGCGCATCCGTCCGCGCCGCATTCTCAAACGGGCGCCACTCCCACCCGATCAGCCGGTGCTCCTTCTCCTTGAAGCCGTCGGGCGGCGCCGTCGTCGGGACGAGAGGCACCGCCGGAGCGTGCATCGAGTCGCCGTCGTTGTGCAGAAGCGCAAACACCTCGCGGCTCATGCCCTCCGGCTTCTGCACCGACGGCTTTGGCCGACGCGCGGGCGCGGCGCCCGGCTCGTGCTTGCCAAGCCCCAGGATGTCGCGGAAGTCGGACATGTGTGGTCACACACACGGCGCAGGGTTCCCCTGCGAGTTGGTATGGTAGCCTTCAGATACTGTTCTTCACAGAAAAACAGAAGGACCCAAGACGCACAAGCACAGACAGTCGAGAAGGGAGAGAGACAGCAACGACAGTCAGAAGTCAGCGCTGGGTTCCAGGAAGGCGAATGCGATGACGGCCTCTAGTGTTCTTCACCTTTCTACCTGACCTGACCTAGCGCTGCCACGGCGGCTACATGAATGAATGTTTTGGTGACGTCACAACTCCTCTCTATAATCTAAACGAATGTACGATGTCCGCGTCAGGCGCGCGCCGCGAGCCCCGGCTGCTCCTGCGTGAGGCCGCTCTCTAAGTGGTCCAACCCACCGTCGAGGGCTCCTCCGCGGCAGAGGTCTCGCGAGCGCGGGGCGGATCGGCAGCAGCGGACGACTACTGGTCCCCCACAGGCTGGCCTAGTTTATATGGAGCGAAGCTGCGTAGCGTCGATCTCGAGGCGCGACTCTCACGCACAATGAACCAGCCCAAAGGGGACTGGAGAGATGGACGCACCAGCGGGCTCGTGATCAAAACGCTCACAACCTCGGCTCTCTTTTACCTCCGCTGGTCTCTCGCGGCCCTGACAGAACGCAGTATGGCAAGTCCCCATATGAATAGGAGATGCAGTAGCTTGCCCTTTCTCTCAGGCGATACTTGATGAGTTGAGAATGAGCTCATCAGTTTGAATGAGGTTTTCGATCAGAGACGCCCAAAAGTTTAGCATGGCAGGACCGAGCACCGAGGCGGTGGAGGCGAACTGCGGCCGGAGGCACGCGGCAAACTCTTCGCGCTGAAAAGTTTCGCTCCGGGCGCCCTCCCCCTCTCCGGCGTTGAGACGATGCCAACGACGTGCATACTCGCCGCGCTCGTCCTCGCGGCTGCCCTTGGTCCGGCCGCCGCTGTCTTGCCTTGCCTCCCGATCTCGGAAGACCACGTGCAGTGGACCCTCGACAAGATTGCCAAGGCGCAGATCATCACCTCACCGTGGCCGCACGTGCAGATTGAGGAGTACTTGCACCCACAGGTGTACGCGTGCGCGATCCATTACTGGCCAGAGGATCCGGAGTGGAGGATCCGCAAAACGTCCCAAGACGGAGTGGGGACGCGGCCCAACCGAACCGCGATCGACCTGGAGAACTTCTTCCACAACTACAACTATCGCCGGGCGGTGGAAGAGAATGTTCAGCCATTGAGGAATGGGTACTCGGCGCTGTCGTCGAGGAACACGATCGACTTTTGGCGGGACTACAAGGCGAAGATTGGTGGCGAGAACGCCCTCGCCGTGACCAATGCCTGGCTCAACAAGTTCGAGAAGACGCTCTCGGTGCGCCCACTGCTAAAGGATATCTGGCAGGCGATGGGCACATATGTTGAGAACCACACGGTGGCGCAGCGTGGCTCGCTGCACTGGGACGAGGCGGGCTACTCTGTCATGCCCCACCTGGACACGGCGTCCACGTGGATCGTCACGTTGCTACAGTACATGCCGCAGTGGGACGAGCTCGAGCTGATGAGGGACCAGGGCACCCTGCTAGTGAAGCGGTGAGGGCCGGCCCCGCTCCCAACGCGCGCCACCCCAAATGGAACCCAGATGTGATTGCCTGCGACACTGAGAGAGAATCGATCCCCATTGAGCTGTTCTATCCACTCCACTCATAGGTGGGAGCCCGACGATCAGCAGCGGCACTTCGAGAGCGGGGGGCGGCCGCTTCCCATCTGGGACAAATGGAACAACAAAGTCGGCCCCATGCATGGCCCGTTGCGCACCACGCAGTACGAGCTCAAGGCCAAGACTGCCTTCATCCCAAACTCGATCCTTGCTTTTGCGCCGTGCGACTCGTCGTGGCACGCGGTCGAGGAGGTCAGGGAAGGTTACCACCGCAAGGTGATGGCAACTTACATTGAGTGGGGGCCCGGCAAGGAGCACCGCCTCGCAAACGAGACCGCCTTCGACCGAGTTGGCCACTCCATCCCCCCGGGCGAGTGCATGATCTGACGCGCCCCTCTTTTGGAGGTACGACCTTCGTATCACGGTGTTCCAGACGAAGTTTTTGTAATGTGAGATTTTGACCATTTTGTGAACGCACCACTCACAATCCCATGTGTCCTCATAACCTCCTATCTAGATCCTGCCACACGTACTCCAGCATTACTGGGAACACGTCCCGTCGCTCGCATTGCGTAGCGGGTAGGCCTCGTCGCATACTAGGCAGTACCGGCGGGGTGTGTTTCTTGGGACCAAGGGAAGGCGTGCCCCTTGTGGATTAGTGCCGAGCGCGCTGATGCGCCCAGAGGGGGTCATCCGGCTCTTGCTCAGCATGTAGTCATTCGGCAACAGGTTGAACCCGCCGCTGCAGCGACGACACCCAACGTCGCAGCCGCGTGAGGTGGTGTGTCCCAACCGAAAGACGGTGCGCCAGGTGGAGCCGCGGTCGAGGGAGGCGAGGACAGAGTAGAACGAGGCGCCAAACAGCACGCCGTCATTGGCGAAATCGGGCGAGAAGGCGACAATGCGGCCGTAGCCGCGCACGGCGTTGGCCCGGTAGGATGGAAGGTCAAAGACCATCGGCTCGGCCGCACCGACCACCGCCATAGCAGTCTCCCCCAGGGTGCAGTCCCGGGAAGACGGGCGTCCTCGGATTGCGCCGCCGCCCACAAGACCGACCAGCACCTCTCTCCCAGCGGCGTCGACCTGTAACGCGCCAAGCCCGACACGACTCTTGAGAGGCGCGCACCAGCCTCGATCAGCGAGGCTGCGGAACACAAGCGTGCCGCGGTGGACGCCGATGACGAGGTCGTCGCCCAACAGGGCGGCGGTCCAGTTCCCTGACCCGGTTCGGCCAGCCAGTTCGAATGGCTCCCACGACCGTCCCCCATCCTTTGAAAGATGCAGCTCCTGCTCGCCAGGGTCGTAGCCGCCCGGGAAGAGGGCAGCGCTGAGGGAGGCGCCGATGTACGCGAGGTCGTCCTTGCCCAGCGGCGTCAGGAGCGCGAGTACCGTTTGGTCGCTGGCAAAGTGTGGCGACGGCGACACCTGTGTGCTCTGGAGGCGAGGAGGTCGCCACGACGTCTCAAACGTTGCGCCGCCGTCGGTGGAGCGCGCCACGCCGAGGTTGAAGCCGCCGACGAACACCGTCGCGTCTGTCTCAAAGGTTGGCGAAAACGCGATCGAGTGCACCATCGCTCGCGCCATGCTGGCGAAGAGCGTCGGCAGCTTCACGTAGCTCCAGGTAGCCCCGCCATCGATGGTGCGTAGCAGCCCATTCACGTGCACCGTCGACCGAAGCGCGACACCGTTGCGCTCGAAGTTAGGCGCGTGTTCCACGACGTTGTGCATCCTCGCCAGAGGGCTGTCAAACTCTCCACACTCAGCGAGACCGCCGCCTTCGCCCTGGCAGACGGCCGGCCACGGCGAGGTCATCCTGGCCAGTTCGATGGGCGGGGCACCGTCTGGTGAATATTGCAAACTGTAGGAGCGCAGCGCTCGCTCGCTCACGGAGGCGGTGACACAGTCTCCCGCAGTGGGGCATGCGGATAGATGGAAGCCTCGCTCTCCCCCGACGTCGCTCCGCCCCACCGAAAGCGAGAGCAACTCCTGGCCTATCGTCTCGAGATGGCGCCACGCAGAGTCTCGCGCTCGGTGCCGAAAGATTCCAACGTACGACGCGACGAACGCGTCGCCACTGTCAGCGCAGGAGAGGTGAGAGAAACTCGGCCCGCCGCTGCCCCTCCAATCTGGACAGGAGCGGCAGATTGCGAGCCCGTTGGCGAGCTCGTTCGCCCACGTGCGGCCTCCGTCGGTGCTGCGGAACACGCTGCCGTGGACGCCGCGGTCAGCAAAGCCCTCGGTGACGACGAGGAGAGCGCCGCTCCTTGTAGAACACACATGGGTCACGTCGGAGGCCGCGGCGCCACCCGCGGCTGTGAGCTCTCCGAGCAGCGCGCTTGTGGGCTTGCGGTCCGGTTCTTGGGTCCGAGGGAGGCGAATGTGCCACACGCCCCCCGCCGATCCCGCAAAAAGCTCGATGGGCCCGCCCGCAGAAGGGCTGGACGTCGCCACCTCGGCGAGCGACGATGTGACATTGGCGAGCATTATTGCGGTCCGCCACTTGTTGCCACCGTCCGTCGACCAGAGGATCTCCCCATCCGTGTCACCAGCGACGAGTGCGCTGCTCGTCGCGGTGACAAAGACGACGCTGCGGTTGACGTCGCTCACCGGCTGAAAAGTCTCGCCGTGGTCCTCAGACCGCAGCAGTTGCGAGCCGGACCCGATGAGCAGCGCGACGCCACTCGCTGCAAAGTCATGCGCGAGGGCAAGGACGGGTGAGCCGCGGCCATCAAAGGCGCCCCGAGGAAGCGGCGCGCGCGAGAGCTTGTTCCAGTTGATGCCACCGTCCCGCGAGCGCCACAGTCCGCAGGCGCTCTTTGCGCCGCCCGCGCCAAATGCAGCAAAGACGGTTTGGTCGGAGCTGAAGGCGGGAGAGATGACAATCGTCTCTGCCGGCTGGAAGTGGGCCTTTTGCCCCCCGAAAGGGGCAAAGAACTTCCTGTCCGGGAGGCCCCGGTTCGCCAGCGTCCACGTCTCGCCTCCGTCGGATGATTTGAGCATGTTCATTGCCGGCCGGACTCTTGTGAAGAGGGTGGAGCCGTCGCGAGACACGGCCAGCGCCGTCGCCTGCTCGTGGGGAATGTGCCCCGGCCAGACGCAGATCAGGGGAAGCATCCTCCGTCTAAGGGAGTGGCGTTGGCTTGGTTGATCGCGAGAGAGATTTTAGCAATACAAAATGTGTTTGTGTTGATCGCCGCGCATGTAGAAGCCGCGAGTGGCGAGCAAGGCGGTTGCGGACGGCCGATCTGCGATGAGTTTGTCGGGTTTCTCTTTTTTCTTACGGACATTTAGCAAAGAAATCTTTATCGGGCATGAAGAAAAATCGTCGAAAGAAATTCGTCCTTGGACGTCCCAGCCAAAGTGATCCTTCCGCGCTCAAAGGAAGTGCCGACAGAGCGCGCTCTGGCATGGCCCGCGTCAAGCCGCTGCGACCACCGCCACCTCCACCGCCGCCGCCTCCGCTGCCTCCGCTGCCTCCGTCTCCGCCCACGCAGCCGCCGCAGCCGCCGCAGCCGCCGCTGCCACCGCACCCGCCGCCGAGTCCTCCGATCCCTCCCTCGCCGCCTTCGCCGCCTCCATCGCCGCCCTCACCGCCGCCGCCGCCGCTCTTTCGCTGCCACGAGATGCCGCCGCTCACTGTGGCGATAGCCAACGTCATCGTGGCGACCTTCATGGCCGAGCACCCTCTCTCGGCGCTCGCTCCGCCTCCCGAGGGCGTGGAGGTGAACACTTACGCCCTCACGACGAACGTCTATCGAGCAAACAACACGCTCGAAAGCTTCAGCTACGAGGGCATCAAGCTCTACGGCTGCGAGCGCGACGGGATCGAGCGCGAGCGGTCGTGGTTTGAGCGCTTGCTCGACGCCACGCCTGATGCCCTGAGCGACGTCTGGGGCGTCGCCCCCGCCTCTGTCAAGGACCATTACCTGCCAGACGCGATTCGAATGGAAGTGACCGGTGTGCGCTTCACCGGTACACTCAAGTACCACGTCACTCAGCTCGGGATTCCGGCCGGCAGCGGCGACCTCCGCTACGAGGCGGGAGGCACGATCGTGTACGACGACATCTCGATTCGGATGTCGGACATTGAGGCGGACCGCGGCGCGGCCGGCAGGCCTGTCCGCTGTGGAGGCACCGTCCAGATGATGTCCCTCAACTACACCGGCCCCTACCACGGCTCCGAGTGGATGTACATGGGCAACTCTCCCCTCCGGCCAGACATGATGGGCTTTATCTGCGACGGCCACGAGACGGAGAACCACAACCCCCTCTCGACAGGCTGGCACTGGGTCGGCCCGGGACCGCCCCCGACCGGCCTGCTGGCAAAGTCGAGGGAGAGCCTGCAGGAGAAGTGCGCGCTCGCGACGCCCGTCGAGCGCCTGCTTGGCTTCTGCGTCTTCCCGTGGGCGTGGCCTCAGGCGATGGTGCGACTGGCAGAGATGCGCCCGGGGGCGGCGACCGCGGTGCTGGGCTTCTACTGCGTCCTCCCGGCGGCCTTCTGGCTCGGCGTCATCTGGTGCTGCTGCCGGCGATCGCGCCCCGCAACGGCCCGTGCGGCGACGCACCACTCTCGCACCATGCGCCCGTCCGAGTCGTATGAGCCGGGCGCGCGAGACAGCTCCAAGGCGCCGCCCCCGTTCGTGCGCATCCCGTCGGAGGCGCCGGTGGGCGTCACCGTGGTGTGGTTCGTCGGCGCTCTCGTGAGCAAGTGGCGCCGCGGCAGCTCGCGCGCCGTGTCGCGCAATCCGTCGCAACAGTCGGTGACGAGGCAGTCGGCGACGAGGCGGCCGCTGCTCCGTGAGATGAGCGACGAGGTGGGAGCCGCGAGCTCTCGCCCCGCCGGGCCGACATGCGGACCGGCCCTCACAGCGCTGGTGGCCGAGCAAGAGAGGGAGCCGGCGCAGCAGCTGCTCCGGGGCTGCGGCCACGCCAGGCAGCGAGCGTCGCAGAAGCCGTCGGCTGTGACCATCGACATCGACCGCGACAGTGCGAGCGAGATGCAGGTCTAGACCACAGAGTCACCCCGGATACGTTCTTGCATGTTGATCTTCTGTGGCCCGGAGTACTCTGCTTTACGTGTATGTTCCTACGTTCAGTGCGGCGGTTTGTTCAGTGTAGCTGCCTGTGTTGTCGCCAGTGTGCCCGTGATCGGTGTGCGTGATGTGATGTCGTCGGAGTCTTCAGTCTACGCTTGGCGCCCTCCGTTACCGCCCTCGTACCTAGTTTGTGACGTACGGCATCGCGCCGATGCTCACGCCACTCCGCTGGCACTGCGGCAGCTCCTCTCCGGCCCACAAAGAGTGAAACTGAAAGTCGCCACAAAACCACAGACCGAGTCATTGTCGGAGAAGCTCCGCCCCGGCGCGCCGGCCCCGCGCAGCCTCCCCCGCGCGCCGCGGCGCCGACCGCCCCGGTCGAGGCGAACAAGGGGTGCCTCGGCGGGTCGTCAGCAAAGAGCGGCCCGCCCGCCCGCCGTACATGAGGACCGGCACAGCCCAGCCCGCCGAGGCTCGCTCTCCCAGCTGCCACGCGCGCGGTGGCGCTTCTCCGGCGAAATTTTGATCAAGCTCTTTGTCGACAAACCTGTGCCCGAGCTCCTCCTGCTCGACTGTGCGGCGGAACCGGCCCCTGGATGCTGAGATGTGAGGCGCCGGCACTGTGATGAGCGTCGGCAGGACCCTTTGAAATCATAAATGGCGGCGTCTGGAGAGGCCCCCACGGCCGGGGGCGGTAAGTGGGTGATAGGAGGGTGATAAACGACCATCACATCCTGTAGACGACCGTCGCATGACTCGAGCGCTGAAGCTCATGCAGCCAAACGGCAAGGTGGCACCCGCCAGGCACCGGCTCTGCTAGATGGACATAGCCCAGTGATGCATGGCGCTCACGCCGCAGCACTCTATTGGATGCGGATCGCCGCCCTAAGCTCGAGAGCGTTGCGCGTCGCAGGCGCCGGACTGCTGCGCAGCGCGAGGCATGCAAGTTTGTGCAGCTGGGCCAGGAGGGCAGGGAGGCGGCCAGGTCCTCCCCAACGCACGCTCGACGCCTAGCCTGGTGAGCCGCGTGCGCGGTACTCCAGCTGACGCTCGTTGCTGCCCTCGGAACCTCTGGGCGCAGCTTGCCACCACGGCGACGGCGGGCCCTGCAGCCGGCCCTGCTGCGCCGCCCTTCTCCCTGAGCGAGGACAAATGGGCCACGCTGCGGGCCAGGGCCGGCTCGACGATGCACTCCTCGCCGCCTTTTGCGAGAGTGAGCTCGGCTGCGCCCCTGGCCGAAGTGCGGTGCGCGTCTTGCCATGCTCTGATCTGTAACATCCGTGGCCGCCTCCCTCGCCGCCGGCGCCGCCTCCCCCGCCCGCGCGGTGCGTGGGCTCCGGCGAGTGCCTAGGGAAGCTGACGAGCCAAAAAAAAGTGCTCGGCGATGCTGCGCGACCCGGAGCACAAGTTTCGTGGTTACTGCCAGGGCCTCGCTAACGTGTAGACCGCGTCGACTCACGCCTCCACGGTTGAGCATAGGCGGGCTACTGCCATGGCACCGGCTGGAGCACCGACTGGCCCGGCAGCGCGTGCGCGGGGCGGTGTGTGCTCCACTGCAAACCCTCCCTGCTTCCCATGCCTCGGCCACATGTCGGCCGAAGAATCCATTCGAATGCCGGTCGACTCGCGGGGCCCTTAGGTTCAACATCCTCCGCACGTCGGGGTACGACTTTTGCCGCAACGTGGAGTGGATGGTTTGCGCGGCGGGAGGTGAGGTCGCCCGTGATCGTCCGAAGTGAAGCGCGCGTGTGTGTGTGCACCACCCCGCGCGCTCTGAGACGCTGTCGTTGCCAGGTCACGCCGGAGTGGGCAACGGCGATATCATCTTCACGCACAAGCCGAGTGCGCTCGATATTGGCCTCCTGAACGACCACGACGGCTACCACGAGAACGACCTGTACTACCTGGAGGTGTGCGCGCTGAACGAGCTGTGCGGTAACTACGAGGAGATCTTCCGCGCGGAAGTGGGGGAGACGTTCCGGTGCAGAGTGGACGCGGAGAGGTGGGCAGCCGCCGCGGTGCGCGGAGGACTTGAGAGCGTTCGGGTGAGGTGCAGGTGGAGAGAAGCTCTGGTCTTTCGACGAGCCTGCTTTGGTTTGTGTCAACCGGTACATGTAAACGAAATATCCTGACTCGTCTAGACGTGGAGTCGCGAGGGTGGTCGCCCCTTGCCCTACCACCTTGACGCTTGCTTGAGAAGTGGTGGAAAAAGACGAAAGTGTACCTGGACTTTACCTTCTCAAGAGGCGAGCCACCGTGTGCAACTTGCGGTCTTCAGCACACATTGCGATTCTTTGCGCGCCGATGCAGACGCGGCCGTGCTAAGACAATGGCATATTTCTTTTTCTCGAGGGAGAGTTCGTGTTTAAATTCTTTTTCTCTCGGCTCCGGTGGTGTGCCGGTGATAGTACTAGCACGCGCCAGTTCGCACCTGTGTCGAGCCTGTGTGCTGTGAGAGAGAGTTCTTGTTTAAATTCTTTTTCTCGCGATGTCCACCCCGCCGCGCCGCCGCTCGCGCCGCCTCGCCACCGCCGCCACCGCCGCTCCCTCGCCAGACACGCCGCCGCCCGCCCGCCTCCTCGACCTCCCCACGGACCTCCTCGTGCGCGTTGTCTCTCGCTGCGACCCCGCCGACATCTCTCGCGTCGCGGCCGTCTCGCTCCTCTTTCACGCCTCGCTTGCGGTGGAGGGCATCCGCTTGTGGGCGCAAGAGCGCGTCTTCGAGCTGCCGGCGCAGCCAGAGGGCGAGAGCTGCGCCGTGCGGTGGCTGTGCTTGTCTGCGCTGCTTTGCGAGTCCAACCCGCCGGCGAGGGCGGCGGCAGGCGAGCGGCACAGCGTCTTCATCGACGGCGAGGGGCGGCTCTCGTCGTGCGGCAGGGCGCCGGATCACGTCGCAGGCCTCCTTGGCCACGGTGAGGGCGTGACGCGGCTCAACACGCCGGCCCGCCTCACTTCTCCGCTGGCCGTTAGCGTGTCGGCAGGAAGCAGCCACAGCCTCGCCCTCACCACCGCCGGCGCGGTCTGGAGCTGGGGCTTTGGAGGCGACGGCCGGTTGGGCCACGGCGACGAGCAGCGCCAGCTGCTGCCGAAGAAGGCCGAGGCCTTCGCTGGCCAGCGCGTCGTCGCTGTGTCGGCTGGAGCCCGCCACAGCCTCGCCCTCGCCGCCGACGGCTGCGTCTGGAGCTGGGGCGCTGGAGGCTTTTGCCAGTTGGGCCACGGCGACCTGCAGAACCAGCTGCTGCCCAAGAAGATCGAGGCCTTTGCTGGCCAACGCGTCGTCTCCGTGTCGGCTGGAACATGGCACAGCCTCGCCATCACTGCCGACGGCGCCGTCTGGAGCTGGGGCGCTGGAGGCGACGGCAGGTTGGGCCATGGCGACCAGCAGAACCAGCTGCTGCCCAAGAAGATCGAGGCCTTTGCTGGGCGGCGCGTCGTCGCTGTCTCCCCTGGACTCGGCCATAGCCTCGCCCTCACCGCCGACGGTGCTGTCTGGAGCTGGGGCTGGGGCTTCTATGGCCAGCTGGGCCACGGTGACGAGCAGAGCCAGCTGCTGCCCAAGAAGATCGAGGCCTTTGCTGGTCGGCGCGTCGTCGCCGTGTCGGCTGAAGCCGCCCACAGCCTCGCCATCACTGCCGACGGCGCCGTCTGGAGCTGGGGCACTGGAAGCTACGGCAGGTTGGGCCACGGCGACCAGCAGAGGCAGCTGCTGCCCAAGAAGATCGAGGCCTTTGCTGGCCAGCGCGTGGCCGCTGTCTCGGCTGGAACCCACTGCCTCGCCCTCACCGCCGATGGCGCTGTCTTCACGTGGGGCAAGGGCGAGGACGGCTGCCTAGGCCACGGAGAGGACCTGTCAGACCAGCTGCTGCCCAAGAAGGTCGAGATGTGGGCGAGCCGGCCGCCGACGCCTACTTCCTCTGATGTAGAGGGCAGCAGCGGCGGGGAGGACAGTGATTAGGGTAGCAACTCGGACGTTGGGAGAGGCGGAGGAGGCGTCGGCGGAGGAGGCGGAGGGGGCGGAGGGGGCGGAGGAGGCGGAAGAAGAGGAGGCGGACGAAGCTGCGGAGGAGGCGGACGAAGCTGCGGAGGAGGCCGCCAAAGTGCGCCGGAAGTCCGAGGCCTTGGCGGACCTGGCGGCGGCGGCGGCAGAGGTGGAGGCGGCGGCGGCGGAAGAGGAGACAGCTACGGCGGCGCTCGCCGCCGCCAAGGTGAGGCGCGCATCAGCGGTTGCTGCTTGGGCCAAGGCGGCCGCAGAGGCGGATGCGGCCCCGCCCAGTATGATGCCTAGCCGCGGAGCAAGCACTCTTCACTCTTCCCCTTGTCGTGACCCCCCCCCCCCAAAAAAAGCTCCTGTCCGACACACTGTCACACTGACTGACAGAGGTGACAGCTGTGTGTATCTCGATGCGCCCCCCTGCCCGCCCTCCGCCCAGCTCCACGGCGCCGCCGCCGGCCGCGTGCCGGCCGGATGACGTCCCTACTGCCTGGGTGTGGGACCCTGAGCGTCGACACTCAGATTCATTCAACACCACCGATTACTAACTGCGGCAAGTAGAGACACGCCGCGCTGACACCGCGAACAAAAGCACAGCGCGTCACCTCCGCGGCGCCCGGCCGACCCCAACAATATCCACGTCAAGCCGCCCGCTCGCCGAGTCGACCGAGCGCACGCGGACGCGCACCGGCCTGCCGGGCGCCAGCCGCGGCACGGCTCGCCGCGCGCCTCCGTCGGCCGCACCGGCGGGTCCAGCGGAGGGCGCGCCGGGCGCAGCGCCCCACCGCGCGTGGCCGAGGAGGGAGGTGACCTCCCGCAGCCGCACCGTCACGCGCTGCCGCCTGTCGGTGTCGCCCTCGGCCGGCCGCACAACCTTGACGACGACCGCGTCGAGAGTCGAGAATCGGACCGAGCCGAAGCGGCGGCGCGCCGCTCCGCCCGAGCCGGCGCCGGCGGAGGACCGCGCCGCCTGCCGCGCGCACACCTGCGTCGGGAGCCGCCGTGTGTGGGGGGGGGGGGGGGGGGCTTTCCCCAAAAGGAACGGGCCTCAAAAAAACGGGCGAGGGAACCCCCCTGAAAAGGGGGCGGGAGCTGGCGGCCGTGAGACGCGGGGTAGAGGGGGAGTCTCCGGGAGGACGCAACGGGGAGGGGCGGGGCGGTGACGGAAGAAGCTGCGGTGGGAAAGGAGAGGCGCTCGGACACACAGGAGGCGCTTGCGCGCCTGCTCGAGCTCCCGCAAGCCGGCCAGGGCGCGGGCCGAGGCCTGCTGCGCCGCCAGCCGCGAGCGGATCTCGCCGCCGCGCTGGCGCACCCACCTCTCGAGCGCGGCAACCTAACCACGCGAGAGGTGTGAAGAGACGCGCCACGCAGCTGGGGCCCATCCACGCTTGTCGCGGCCGCCTCGCCCGCCCCCATCCCCGCCTCGCCCCGCAGCAGCGCGCTGAGCTGCCGCTGGGCGATCAGGTCCGCGTACCTGCGGCAGGGAACCGAGCAGACTCAGCGGACGTCCCCACCGCGCTGCCGCCGGGCGAGCGAGCGCGGCGGTGTACCGACGCAGCGGCGCAGTGGCGACGCGCTGGTGCTCCGCCTGCGGCAGCCGCAGCGTGTTCGCGGCACGCGCCGCCCTCCTCGCCGCGTAGGAGTACATGCCGAGCGCCTGCACGAGACGGCGCAGGCAAGGCTCAGGAGAGGCGGCAGGCCGCGGCGCCGCCAGTGCGCGCCGAGCGGCGCCTGGGCGGAGAAGCGGCGACCTCCCTTGTCATTCTCTACTCACCGCGAGCCCACCCGTTGCCGACCCGCGCCTGGTCGACCAGACGGCGAGCCGACGTGTGCACCGTCGCCTCCGGCCGCAACCCGCCGCCCGCCGTCCCCTTCCACCGCACAGACGCCGCCGCCGCCGCCGCCGCCGCGCCGCCGCTGCCTCCGCCGGCCGCTCGAGCCGAGACGGCGCCTCCTCTTGCGCCGCCGTCCTCGCGCCGCTGGAAGATTGCGTCGAGGGCGGTGAGGTCGGAGTGGACCTGGCGGGGAAGGAGAGGCCACGGCTGAGGCGTGAGCCACTTGCGTCGAGGGACCGCCGGCTGGAGAGAGGCCTCGGAGGTCATGCCGTCGCCGGCTAGCAGCGAGTCGACCTGTTGGAGGGGAGGCAGCGGGCTAGCCGAGATGTGGCCGACATCTAGCCGAGGTGTGGGCGAGGTGTGGGCGAGGTGTGGGCGAGGTGTGGGCGAGGTGTGGGCGAGGTGTGGGCGAGGTGTGGGCGAGGTGTGGGCGAGGTGTGGGCGAGGTGTGGGCGAGGTGTGGGCGAGGTGTGGGCGAGGTGTGGGCGAGGTGTGGGCGAGGTGTGGGCGAGGTGTGGGCGAGGTGTGGGCGAGGTGTGGGCGAGCAATGAGTCGCACCTCGTCGAAAGAGAGGCAGCGCACGGGCGGCACCAGAGAGCGAACCAGCTGGCAGTGCCGGATGTGGCCGTACAAGTCGAGCTGCACCAGGGCGGTGAGGCACTCGTTCGGTGCGTCGTCGGAGAGGGCGGCGGCGGCGAGCAGCGGCGGCGGCAGCATGTGCAGCGGCGCGGCGGCGGCGTACAGCGACTGGAGCCGCAGCCGCGCGACCTCGTCGAGCAGCGAGCCGGGCTGCACCAGGGAGGAGAGGTCTGCGATGTGCACACCTGCTCGGGGGAGCGCACGCCTCGTCTGCACCGCAGCTCGGGACCACGAGGAAAGCTCCAGCGCTGCGCACGCCGATGGTGGCGGAGGCGGCGTCGATCGAGACAGCGTCATCCCGGAACTCCGTGTTGCCGCCTACACAGCCACCCCTGCCCCGTCACCGCCACCTCTCGCTCATGCCCCTCCCAGACCTCCGCCTCTGGCACGCCGTCAATCGCGTACGCGCGCGGGAAGCGGGCGCGCAAGTCGACGCGGTGGTCGAGCTGCTCCGAGACTGCCTCCGCACCACCGCACCCCTCCCTCGCGTCGCCTCCTCCTCCGGCCCCCGGCTCGCCCCACCCAAACATCCCCGCCACCGACGGGGCGGCCGAGGCGGGGCGGCCGGCGGCCGGGTCGAGCAGCGGGGCGGTGCGAGCGAGCGAGCGCCTCCGCCTCCGGACGGGGGCCGCCCCTTTTGGCAAAAAAGGGTGGGGGGGGGGGGGGGGGGACGCTGGCCCCAGGGCCTCCTCCCCCCTCCGAGAGGGGCGCCTGGTGCCGCCTCTCGCCGCCTCTGGGAAAATTTGGGCGCCTTTGGGCTGCCTCTGGGCGCCTTTCAGCGCCTCTCGGCGCGCATTTGGGCGCATTTGGGGGGGTCTCCCCTCGTGCGCCGCGTCGAGCGCGGGGCGCGGGAAGGGCTCGACGAGGTCGAGGGAGGCAGGCGGGTCCCCACCGCCCTCCTCCTCCTCCTCCTCCTCCTCCTCCTCCTCCTCCTCCTCCTCCTCCTCCTCCCTCACCCACAGGCCGGGGGACAGCAGCAGCTCGCTCGCACCCTTAGCAGTCGCTGGCAGCGCAAACGACTCGAGCACCCGCGCGGCGGCGGACGAGGTGGCGGAGACGCCGATGGCTGCCTGCGCGGCAACGGATTTCGGCCGCATTTCGGCCGGATTTGGGCCAGACATCGTCCAAATCTCCGGCAAACCTCGGACAAGCCTCAGACACCCCCCCCCCCCGGGACCATCTCGGCCCACTCTCTCGATCTCGGCTCGATCTCGCCATCTCCAGCTCAGATAGGAGCTGCAGCTCCGACGGCGCCCAAGAGATCGCCTCGCCGCCCCGCGCAGCCACGAGCGACTCCCGCAGCGACGCGTGTGCGCGCGTCACCGCCTGAGCACGCTGCAGCGCCTTGAAGCCGCCGCCACTCACCGCCGCCGCCCTCCACCCGCACACCTCGCCGCCAGCCGCGCCGCGATCATCCGCCTTATCGGCGGCGAGGTCCAGCGACTGGCGCTTGAAGAGGATCCCCTCCTCAGACAGCAGCTGCGCCGCAGCCACACGCTGTGCAAAGACGCCGCCGCCCGCCGCGCCCGCGCCGCCCGCCGCGCCGTCGCCGCCCGCCGCGCCGCCGCCGCCGCCGCCGCCGCCGCCGCCGCCGGAGGCGATGGCGGAGAGGAAGGGGGCGAAGAGGACACGCGCGGCCGCGTCGGGCGTCACGGCGCGCCGCTTGGCCGGCTGCGCGAGCAGCCTCGTCCAGAGCGGCCTGTGGCGTGGAGAGGGAGAGGGGAGGGGGAGTGGGCGCGGAGAAGAAGGCGGCGCACTGTGTAGGCGCCTGCTGCGGCGAGGAGAAAGGGTGCGGCGGCGATGGAGGCGGGGTGAGGGGCGCTCGAGCGGGACGGCGGGCTGCAGGAGAGCACAGGAAGCTGCACGCGCGGAGGCATCTAGGCAGAGCGGGCCTCAAGTCGAGCGCTGGCGGAGGCAGGTCGGCGAGCAGCGCCGCAGCACTGTCGTGCACCGCCGCCCACTCAGAGGGGGAGGAGGGGAGGGAGGCTGGAGGCTCGGGCCAGACGCCGACGAGCTGGCCCGCGTCGATCTTGATCGCACCGTCGCGGCCGTCGTTCCCTCCGCCGCCGCCGGCGGAGGAGGCTGCCGGAGGAGGAGGCGCCGCCAGCTCGACCAGCAGCGCTCGCGATGGCGAGGGTGCGCGGCCGCGAAAGGTGCCGACGTGCAGGCTGTTGGCGTGCCAGACCTCCACCACCGACCCCTCGCGCAGCGTGCCTCTCGGAGGCGGCTCAATCAGGGGCGGCGGAGGCGCCGCCGGCTTGGAGGGCGACTGGCCCTTGCCTGGCGACGCGGCGCGCCGAGGGCCGAGGACGGCCGCAGGGCAGCGAGGCTGCGTGGATCGAGGCGGTGCTAAGAGGGGCGTCGTCAGGCCGACGCAGAGGAGCAGGTTTGCGAGCATCGAGCCAGCCGTCGCAGGTTTGCGAGCATCGAGCCAGCCGTCGCCCAGCCGTGCCCAGCAAGGGCCGGTGAAAAAGAATTTTGTGTGCCGCGCACAACAGTGGGCACAGGACTGGGCACGGGACTGGCGCGAAAAAGAATTTTACAACGCATTTTACAACAAAACTCCCTCGCACAACACTGGGCACGGGACTGGCGCGCACTGGCACTAACACAGGTACACCAAGAAAATTCGGTGCGCATAAAACAGAGGGAAGAGAGAAGAGAGAGAATTCCCTTTTTTCACGACGGAGTCTCCCTGTGGTGCTATCACAGCGGCACGACCGCTTCTGGCAGGACTAGTGCTAGTGCCGCTGTCGAGGAGCACATCACCTGCGCAGCAGAGGCGATGACGAGCAGCGTAGCAGCTGCACCGACGGCAATCAATCCCTGCGAACGACACGCTTGTATCGCCTCGCGTTGGGCCTCGGGCCAGCCGTCCTTGTGTCGCTGGGGCAGGCGCTGACACCTCCGCGATGCACGTGCCCGAGCGACAGGGTTCGGCTCTCGCGCGTAGCTTGCGCCTCCAGACGGTGAGCGCCTCTTGGCACGAGGGATGAAGCAGCGGGAGACGCTCGTGCTCGTCGAAGCGCTCTCGAAGGAGGGCCACAAACTCACGAGACGTGTCGACCACCCCGCATTCGCTTAGGTGGCCGACGTGGACGAGCACGTCTCCGCGGAAGGCTCGCAACGCGCGTGCATCCCACGGCTCTGTGGTGCCCTGCCCCTGCGCTAGGTGCTTGCGGTGAAGATCCATGTGGAACGGCCAGACTAGCAGCAGGGCACGCCCGTGCGGCTGGGACTTGAGCACCTCTGGCCCTCCGGCCAGCACGGGGAAGAACTGCCGTTCAAAAAAGTAGTTGGGCATGTTACCTGTCGCCGTGTCCACTGAGGGCGGCGCGATGTCGAATGCGACAATGTTGACGCCGCGCCTGGCCAGCATGGCCGCCCAGTAACCGGTCCCTGCGCCGAGCTCGACCAGCGGGCCGAGCTTTGCGAGGCACTCGAGGGCGTCCTCCGTGGGTGTAGAGAAGGAGAGTGATAGGAACGAGTGTATCGCTTTGACGGATCGACCGTACTTGCTATCAAGACTGATGTGACGCACACAGTGACACATCAGACGACACATATTCTCCCACCCGCCGGGACGCAAAACGCTCTCGGCGAGAGCCACAAGAAGGCGTCCACACAGCAAGCCGCTCGTCGGACAGGCGTGCTCGCTCGATGCCGGCGAGCGCATTGCGCACGCTTTGAACGGTGGCGAAGCCAAAAACACCGATGGTGGCCGTCCGCTGGCGTGAGCGGCGGCGGTCGAGACCTCACCCTTCGCGCCGACGACCCAACCTCACGCGGAACAACCCAACCCCCAACCAACCCAACCCAACACCAAACAACCCCACTGAAAGCACGATTCTCCTGTTGGGCCCGCGCGCGGCTTCCTCAGAACGTAACCCCCACCACAGGAGCAGTCACACGACTCCACACCGGCGCCCGCCCCACCCCACCCCAACACCCTCACCCCACAACCCCGCCCCACCCCGACCCGAGCGACCCCGCCCCGACCCGACCCGATCCACCCCGCCCCGCCCCGCCCCGCCCCCTCAACCGGACCACCCCCCCCCCCCCGGGCCCCTCTCACACGACACTATACACCAAGAAAAAGAACTGGAAGAGTAGTGGGGACCCTGTCGCTGTCCTTCTCCCACCCCTGGTGTCTTTATTTGGGATTTTCCTTTCTTTAAATTTTCATTTTTTCTCGTCGACCCAAAAAAGGCGGGAAGCGCTGTAAGCGCGAGGCGGAAGCACATCGCGATCTCCGCTCGCAGGGGTATGGTGGACAACCTCAGCGCGTTCGAGGCTGAAGTTGGCGCCATGCCAGCATCAAGTGCAAGCAATCCATCCATGGCGGCGTTGGCGATCCCGAGCGAGCTGCTCGTCGCCATTGTACGAACGCACACGGCCAAGGACCTGCTGCCACATATGGTGCCCAGAGCCCTCGAGTCCGGCGACGAATAGGACGCGATTGCTGCTCGAAAAGTGCGTCTTGGTGACGCGGATACTCGATGAGGGCATCGGCGCGCGTTGCATGTGCGTTTGGGGGCCCAAAGACACAAACGCACGTAAAACTTAGTCGTAAGGAGAGTTGGAGTATTTCACAGTATTTCCAGTATCCCAGTATCTGAGGTGCTGTGGCGAAGTATTCCAGTATTTCAGACACGCAAAGCAAGTATTTTTATTGCAATACTGCATGCTACCTGCACACGGCCCTTGCCCAAGTATCCCAATATCCCGCAAGCCCGTCGACCAGCGTGGCGAACATCTGGCCCTGCGGCGCAATCAAGCGCTCGGTGCCGAGACCATACGCGTCGTCGGCGACGTACAGCGCGCACGGCACCACGATTGAGCCGGCCAGGCCGCCGATGAGCTGCGCGACGAAACCAGAGCGCGGCGGGATGCCGCACAGCTGCAGCGCCTTGCCGTCCTGGCTGAGGTCGTTGGCGGCACTTACGGCGACACACGTGCCCGTGAGGACGTTCTGCAGTAGCTCGACGTCGGAAAAGGCGTTGCGTCCCCACGCGAGCAATAGGAGGCAGAAGACGAGGGCGGTGATGAAGATGGTGCCTGAGACCGATGACGCGGACGTTCCGATCTGGGGAGAGGACGGCGCCTAATCGTGGACGTGGGCTGTGAAGAGACGCTCCTTCCCCTTGTTAGTGCCAGTGCGCGCTTGGCAGGATGGAGGCGAATCTAGATAAGACCTCGCTGGCAGAGAGATCTATACACTCAATCACGCCCTGCGTTTGGTGACCCTAGCTTGCCTTTCGCCAGTTCCATTCATTCGTTCGATTTATAAACCCAAGATGCCACGGTATTTCTTTTTTCCGAGCGCGGGGAGGGAGGAGCGAAGCGCTGCTGTCGAGGCCCGATGCTCGCCGCCACTCGCTCCGTCCTCGCCGCCAGCCTTGCGGTTGCTCTGGTGCGCGGACAGAACGCCGCATGCACACGGTCTCAACCAGTCTCAACCTCCTTATAAGCCCGCGCCTGAAGGGCCCGTGCTCTCTCCGTCATCCAGGCGGCGCCGCTGCCGACCGCCAACGCGGCGCTCAAACCTCCAGGTCGCCCGTTGACGTCGGCAGGCGCCGACACCCTGCTGGACAAGTACTTTTGCGACGTGTACTACCCCACGGGCACGGCCGCGGCCAACCTACCGCCGTGCGAAAGCGTGAAGGCCGAGGTGACGTCCGACCTCACGGCCCCTCTTCCGACGCTGTCGCTTGGCGATCCGACAAAGCCTGCTCTCTTCTTCGTGCACGGCTGGCCCGACAGTGGAGCCGAGTTTGCCGCACAGTTTGGCGGGCTGTGCTACGGCCCTGCGGCTCGGTTCCGGTGCGTCGCGGCGACATGGCAGAACTTTCATCCGGATCTCCCGAACGCACCGCTGGAAGAGCTCACGCTTCAGACGACGATTGACAAGCTCGCGGCCACGATGGAGGCTGCGAGGCTTGTGGACACCACCTTCGTCATTCACGACTGGGGTAGCTTCGTGGGCTACCAGCTCATGTGGCAGCATCCACACCTGATGAACCGAACGATCTCCTTTGACATCGGCTCGGGCGGCCACCCAAACGTCACGTACCAGGGCCAGAACGCCATCGCCTTTGACACACACAACAGCATCCCGAGCATGACCTCGGCGCGTTACTGGGATGCACCGTGTCCCGACTGTGCCACGTGGCGGACCGCTTGGCCGTACGCCACAAATGTGTCCTTTCGCGGCCTCGTCCCGAAGCTGCGCCCTCCAAAGACGAAGCCCCTGCTCTTTGTCTGGGGCAACATGACGAGAGGCAAGCCCCGAGGGAAAGAGTCGTTGTTCTTTGACAATGCGTGGCTGGAGTTCGTTGAGTCCACCCCGCATGGCCGCGTGGTTTCTGGGACGGGCGATCACTGGATTTTTCACGAGAATCCGAAGCTAATAAATAGCGCGATGGTGGAGTGGCTGGCGGCATGCGGCCTCTAGGTGTCGAGAAATTGCCATGCACACACAAAAGATGAGATGAGTGAACACGTGCGAGTTGCCAAGTTTGTTGCGCGAGAGATGCGGATTTCAATATTTCATCCTTTTTGATTTTGTGAAATTTGGACATTTTTGTCACACGCGTTGTGTGCTAGGAAAGCTGGCTACCGCCCAAGGCACGGCCGACAAGCGGAGATAAGGCGCGGAGGTGCGGCGGCGAAACTGCGTGGAGAACACCACGGGCACGGCGCACCTGCGACCTGGCAGGGCGTCCTAGTGAGTAGTGACGCACCCGCCTCATGCGCCGCCTCCGCCGCCGCCGTCGCCGCCGCCGCCGGGCCCTTTGTCGCCGTCCGACTCCGGGGCGATGGAGGAGGTGAGGCCCCACCTGTCGGCGGAGCGGCGGCGTGTCAAGGGGCGCGAGAAGGCTTTTGGGAAGCAACCCCAGCTGCGGTTTCACAACGCACCTCATTTTTGGCACCCTCTCCTGCTAGCCGCGCATGAGTACGGCTTTAGGGAGACCGTGTGTGGTGTCTTCGCGGCCTAGAGCACCCTCTTGGCAGTCTATATTCCGGAGATTTAGCCCTCCTGTCGCATCTGGTGAGCCGTACCAACCATAGTCTCCATAGTGAGGACCCAACACGTGTTGTGAAAACCAAAGCCAGGACCTGTAGAGGCTAGAGCGGTGACAGTTCGCGATCAGTGTCGATCAGTCAGCCTCTCGTAAGGCGCGCCGGCGCCGCCGCGGTCCAATAGCATATACACACCACCGTGCCGAGCGTTGCGATCTCTGTGATATGTGAAGTGTGTGCGTGTGTTGTGTGTATCAGAAACCGACCGCATGGTCATGAATCATACCTCCCTCCCCCCAACGCCGCGCGCATCCGTGTTCGTGTAAGTACGAGTGGGAAGACATATGAAATCCAGAGAGCCATATATTGTGAAGGCGCAACCCGCAAAATGCGCCCGCCGCCCGCGACCCGCGCGCCCGCCTCACACGGAGTTGAAAGGCGGCGGGTAGCTCTGCGGGTACTTGAGCAGGAGCAGCGCCTTCGCATTGTCCACCCAGTGCTGCCAGCCGAGCTCGCGTAGCAGCTCGAGCCTGAGGGGCGTGTCATTGACGTGTCACGGACATGTCGCGGACGCGCCTCTTCCCCCGAGCTCACGCAGATCGAGCCTCAGCTCGAGCTTCTCCTTTGGCGGCGGCCCCTTCTCCTTGGCGAGGTGCTCGTCGAGGGCGGCCAGCGCCGTCGCTGCGTAGCCGTGCGCGCGGTGCCACGCGACGAGCAGCTTCCAGTGCTCCTCCTTGGCCGCCCAGCGATGCAGCGCCGCGACGGCGGCGTCGAGCGCCTCGAGTGCCGCCTTGCTGTCCGCGCCGTCGCCCGCGCCGTCGCCCGCGCCGTCGCCCGCGCCGTCGCCCGCGCCGGCCGCCGCCGCCACCTTGTGCAAGTCGGCGAGGGCGGCGGCCTTGAGGTGGAGCGCGCCGACGAGCGCCTTCAGGCCATGTCAGGGACACGTCCGGGACATGTCACCGACACGGCCTCGAGGCGGAGCGCCGCGACGCGCCTTCTTCTGCGCCTCGTCCACCTCGCGCCGCTGCTTGGCGCGCTTGTCGTCCGGGTCGACGTGGGGCACGCCGAGCGCCGCCGCGATCTGCGTCGCGTCGAGCAGCGAGAGCACCTTGCGAGGCGGGCGAGGCGGGCGGTGCTCAGCGTTGCGGGGGGCGCGCGCCCAAGGGAGGGGCAGCGGGGCAAAGCCGCGCCTCGTCCGCCGCCGCCACTACTCCGCGCAGCAGCTCCTCGCCGGCCCGCCGCCCCTCCGACATGGCCTCTGCGTGCTCGAGGTGCGCCTGCAGCAGCGGCAGCAGCGGCGGCACCTCCGGAGGCGCGTCGGGCGGCGCCGCCGCCGCGGCGCACTCGGCGCGCAGCTCGGCGAGCAGCGCCTCGTACCTAGCCGCCGCCGCCTGCTCACACCCCGCCACACGCGTGAGGATCGGTGCCCCTTGCCGCCAATTCCTCGTCCGCCTCGCCGCCGCCCGCCTCGTGCGGCAGCGGCGCAGCCTCGCCAGCGGCGGCCGGCTCCTTTGGCGGCTTGCACTTTGGCGACAGATTGACCAGCTGCGAGATCTTGAGCGCGCGCAGCGCCGCCTCCATCCGATGCGGCGCCGTCTCGTCCTCCTTGTCCATGGACGCCGGCTTGGGCGGCTCCTCCTTCTTGGCGGCCGGCGGGACGAACAGCGTCACTGGCCAGCCGCCGGGCCGCTTGCCAGCACCGACCCCCTCGGAGGACAGCTTGGCGAAGGTGGCCGAGCCGAGGAGCGTGTCTCCCGGCTCGGCGATGGCGGGCGCGGCCGGCGACGCCACGTGCAGCGCAACGCGTGTGTGCGGCTCGAGGAGGCGGCGCAGAGGCGGCTTCGGGCCGGCGGCGGGGTCGTCGAGGGCAGAGGCGCGGCTCCAGTGGAAGGAGAGGGCGACGGGCGCGATCTGCAGGTCAACCACCATCGGCATGTCCTTGAGCTTCTCGAGATGCGCGGGCGAGTCGTGCCGCAGCTGGAGCCGCACCTGCAGGATGCAGCGGCACGATGAGCACGTCGAGCGACCGCCTTTGGGCCGAGAGAGATTGGGCCGAGAGACGGCCAACGAGTGCGAGGAGCGCATCTCCAGCTGCGGCGTCTCTCGGCGCGCGCCTCGTACTCTCCGGCCTTGAGCTTTGTCTTGTCAACGTAGTAGTCGCCCCAGCGCAGCAGCCGCTTGTGCGCGTCGAAGAGAGCCCACAGCTGCGCCTCGTACCCGCTCTCGTACAGCTGCGCCGAGAGCGACGGGAAGCGGACCGTCACGCCTTCGCACGCCTCCTTGAGCGCGAACTTGTACGAGAGGAGGTAGTCGTAGATCGGCGTCTTGCCGCCGACGCCCGCGTCGCCGATGCCGACGTCGCCGCACGGAGCGGCGGGCGGGACGAGCTTCGCCTGGAGCGGGCGGCACGCGCGGCGCAGCGTCTTGAGCGAACCCTCCGGCTCGACCTGTCGACACGTCGTGGACGCGTCATGGACGTGTCCGCCGCGCCAGCGTCTCGGACAAAGCCCTCGGGCGTCGACCGACGTCCGGCGGAAGGAGTGTAGCTCGAGCGAGCTGAAGAGGGTCCGCCCGTCGAGCGTGAGCTGCTCCACCTAAGAGAAAAGGTTCCGAGAAGGGTCGCGGCAGGGCGCCGTGCGCCCGCGCGTCGAGCGTGGGCTGCTCCGCCGAGGGCGAGAGGCCGAAGAAGTCGAGCCGCACGTCGAGCTCCGTCTCGCCGAGCGACATCCACCACTGCGCCACCGCAACCTCCAGCGTCACGCCGCCGACGCACGCGACGGTCGAGACGTACTCCGTCGCCGGCGCGCCAGCCCCCTGCGCCTCGTCAGGCACGCCCATGGTGACGCGCCGGGTCTCAGACGACTGGCCGATGTGCTTCTGTGGCAGCAGCTGCGTGAGCGAGTACATGTAGACCACGCTGCCCGCCGGCTCGCGCGAGCGCGGCGCCCCCCGAGCGCGCAACGTCAGCGTCGCCCAAGTCGCGCCCCGCGGCGGGACGACGAAGCGGCGCTCGATGTGGCCGGGGGAGAAGGCGACGCGCTCGAAGGCGACGTGGCACGGCGCGTGCGGCGCGGCGAGGTTCGCGTGCGGCCTGCAGACGGTGACGGGGAGCGAGAAGAGCGGGCCGCGCCGCGGCGAAGACGAGTCGTGGCCCGCCACCTCGGCGTAGTGCGCGCCAGGCGGAAGCTGGCCGGGCGACACTTTGAGGTTGAAGCCCTTGCCGCCGTGCGTGAGCGCGAGGAACGGCGCGCAGCTCAACCACGGCGCGCTTGGCTGCAGCGTGACGCCGACGTCGAGGGAGACGCGCTGTGCGTTGGGCGCCTCCTCGTGCAGCCTCGGGCGCACGAAGACGTCGACACCAACCTCCGACGCGCTCGAGTGCTGCGGCTCGCGTAAGTAGACGCCGCGCGCACCCGCGCCCGCGGCGGTCGAGCAGCCGTGCGTCGTGGCGCTGAGCTCAAAGCGCACGTCACAGTGGGCGTGCCCGCCGTGCTCCTCGAGCCAGCTCAGCGCCGCGCCAACCTGCAGCAGCCCGCGCCCGAGCGCCCAGACCTCGACCGCGCTGCCCGTGGCGTTTGGCGTGCGAAGTGCCGTCGTCTCGATGGCGCGCCGGATCTAAACAGGTGTGAACGCAATGAGCAGAATGGCGCGCACTCCCGATATGTGTCGATGGCGCGCCGGACCGACGCGGGCGACCAGCGCTCGCCGCGCGCCGCGAGCGCAGACAGCAGGAGCGTGATGCCGCCGCACGCGTTTGGCGACGCCATCGACGTCCCGTTCATGAGCTGGCGGCCTAGACACTTCCTAGACACTTCCTAGACACTTCCAACTGGACGTCCCGCTCATGCGCTGGCGGCCCTGCAGCGTCCAGTTGGGGACGGGTGCGATGGCCCCGCCGGGCGCAGAGACGCTCACCTGCGGCGCGAGGGATGGGACGGTTCAGATCAGGTTCAGAGACGGTCAGAGAAGGCCCCGCCGGGCGCACGTTGAGGTGGCCGTCATAGGTTGGTCCGCGGGAGGACCAAGTGTACTGGATGTCGGCGAGCCTGCAGGAAGGCTCCAGGAACGGTCTGCGGGGGTCTGGGGAGAGAGCAGCACGTGCACCGGAGGCGAGCGAGCTTGGCGCGGAGCGAGTACTGAGGCCCCATCATCGCCGAGGAGCAGTAGGCGCCTGTGAGGAGGCTCCGAGACGGCTCCTCGGGGGGGGGTAGAAGGCTGCGGCGGCAAGAGGAGGAGCAAGTGCCGACGGCGATGCAGCAGGAGGAGGTGCCGGGCGCACCGCCCGTCGAGAGGGCAGGCCTGGCGCGCGAGGAGGAGGACGGCTCAGAGGAGGGGCCCGAGGCGGCTTGGAGAGGGCATGCCGAGAGAAGCGGGCCCGTTGTTGCCCGCCGAAGTCACGAAGAGGAGGCCGTGCTTGTGGACGGCGAGGTTGGCGGCCGCCGTGAAGCGTCCGATGTCGTCCACCTTTGCCGAGATACAGCCGAGATACAGCCGAGATGCAGCCGAGATACAGCCGAGATACAGCCGAGATGTAGCCGAGGTGTGGCCGAGGTGTGGCCGAGGTGTGGCCGAGGTGTGGACGAGGTGCTGGCCGAGGCCGTCGCACCTTTGCGTACTCGCCGAACGAGAGGTTGATGATGTGCACGCCTGGAGGGAGGGGGAGGGGGAGGGGAGGGGGAGGGGAGGGGGAGGGGAGGGGGAGGGGAGGGGGAGGGGAGGTCGAGGGGAGGGGGAGGGGAGGGGAGGAAGGCTTCGTGATTCCCTCGAGTGATTCCCGAGGGGCTGCCCAGAGAGGGGAGGCGGGGAGTGTGCACGCCTCGTTCGATGGCGGCGCCGAGCGCGCGGACGAGCGCGGTGCCCGTCTCCATCCCGTCGAGCCTGCAGGAGGGCTCCAGGAAAGGTCTAGGAGAGGTCTTGGAAGAGGTGGGCCCGACTCCATCCCGTCGAGCCGTGTGTCGCCAATCTTGAAGCCGACAATCTGGCAGCCCGGCGCGATGCCTACGAGGATGGGTCCGGGAAGGGTCCGGCTCCCGAGAGCAGGACGACGCGGCAGCAACGGTCGCGATGCCGTTCAGCTCAGGCGTGTCCGGGAAGTGGGCTCCGATGATGCCCGCCACGTGCGTGCCGTGCGAGCCGGCGTCGACACACAGCGTGGTCCTCGCGCCGTCGGCCGCAACCTGCGGCAAGGCCCAGACAGGGTGCAAGCAAGACAAGCTGCAGGCAGGCAAGAGCAGAGCAGGTGCAGAGCAGGTGCAGGCAACAGTGCAGAGAAGCTTCGAGGACGGCGCATGGTCGAACGCCCGCACCGCGCAGAGCCTTCTCCTCTCGTCTCCTCTCCTCCTACAGCAACCTCGACCGCAAAGTTGCATAGCGTCTCTGCGCCGCTCGCCGCGTCGGCGGCGTCGAGCGTGCCGTACTTGCCCTCGACCCTAGAGGAGGGCTCCGAGAAGGCTCGGGGAACGTCCCGTGTGGAGACCGCTCTGCTCGTGCCCGGCCACCGGAACGGGGCGAGCAGAGCCGCCTCGCCCAGAGCGCCCCGCTCGCTGGTGTCGACGCACACGCGCCAGACGCCCGACTCGTCCTTGTACGTCAGGACGTCGTACACCGGCCCGCCGTCCTCGTACGCCTTGTCGCACGCGTCCAGCGCCGAGACGCGCGCCGCCAGCTCGGCGCCCTTGCGGCCCGCCTCGCCCTCTGCCGTCGGGAGGGGCCTACGGGCCGGGCTCCGAAACTGGTCTGCGGAGGCGTCAAGGCCCGCCTCGCCCTCTGCAGTCAGAGGAGGCCCGAGTGCAGCCTTGCGCCGCTCCTCCTCGGCGACGGCCCGCTGCGTTTCGTCGTGCCGCCGCCGCCGCTCGGCCTTGACGCGCGCCACGAGCGGCCGCGGGTAGAGCTCGAACGCGCGCTTGAGGCCGAGACGGTACTTGGTGCCCGCAGCCCGATCTGGCCACTCTGCAGGCACGGTGAGCGAGCGGCCGCTCAGGCCCTTCAACGTGCCGTCGGCCTCGAGCTCGGTCTCCTTGCTCGTGTCCACATCTCCGGAGCCGGTGCAGTCGACGAGGTCAATCATCTTGGGCTTGCCGTCGCTCGTCGTCTGAAGGCCTGGTGCACCCGGGTCGACGCCGGTGTCGAACACACCGACGATGATGCCGCGGCCGTCGTAGCTCGGGTACTTGCGGATGAACTCGGAGGCGCCAATCTCGTCCTTGGGCTGCTCGGCCGGTTCGTGGGCCGCGGCTCTCGTCGTCGTGACCGTCATGATCTACTCGTCGGCAGCTCGGCGCGAGAGAGCTGTTGCAAGTGGTGCCTGGGTCGGTTGAGCGATAGCCCCGCGAGGTACGAGTGGGGCGGTAGCCTTTCTTCACATAGAGGGGCTTGTATGGTAAAATTCTTCACATACCGAGCTCAACGGTCACGAGAGAAGAAGAGGTGCCCAGCACCCCCGCGCATGAACACACATGGCGCCACCGTGAAACGAGGCGGAGGACGCACGTTTCGTAAAGTACGATCCAGACTGGACTGGGCACGCGCCAGACGAGCCCGCCTAACGCTGGTGGCTCGCGGCGCGCTGGTACCAACAAAAGCGGGAGGGTGCGCGAGACCCCTGGACCTCGCGCACTTCTCATCATCCATAGAGCATCAATGTATGCTCGAGTCCGGGACCGACACTATACGTGCTATATAGTGATCGGATTAGTTGCGATTAGTGACCGCGTGAATATGGGAAGAAAGTACGGTGTAAAAGAAACTGTTCCTATTAACAACGAAGTCTAGCTCAAAAAAACTGTTCAGTTTTCAAAGGCAAAACACAACGCTCTGCGGTTGGTGCACCCCTCGCACTGACACATTCCCCTCATCCCTACCCTTGGCTGAGCACATCTACCTGCGAGCTAGCATCTCCGCATTTTCTCCTCTAGTCATCCGCCCGCGCCGCGCGTCACTATGGGCGTCTAGTGCAGCCACTGACAGAGCTATTCCGAAGGAGTGGTCGACGCCTCGCCTAGAGTCGGGTGGGCCCGCGCACACTGCTTAGCCCTGAGGGGGGAGTGTGTGTGAGGCGGTGTAATGGGTCCTGTTTAAGGCGACAGTCTGGGGGATTAGGCGGGAGGGTCGGCAGCTCAGCCGGGCCTCGGCTATGGGCTGAGCGTCTGCGGGAAGCCTTCTGCCCGCGCCGAGTTCACAGCCTTCCCAGCCGACGGGGTTTTCCTTGGAGTCGGGCCCCGCTCCCCTTTTCTGTGCCTTGCCTGTCCAGGTCTATGTGTGTGTGAGAGAGAGCTAGGTTGCCTTAGAGGTCGTCGCTTGAGTCGGGGGTCGGCGGCTTGGCGCGCTTGCCGAGCGACGGCGGCGTGCCCGGCGCGATCGCCGCCTTAGCGGCGGCGATGCGGTCCGCGAGAGGGTCGGCGGGCGTTGGCGTTGGCGTGGCGCCGGTGCCGTCGTGGATGTATTTGCAGCCAGAGCCGTTGGCGCACTTTGCCTTGGGGTCCCGCGCGATGACCTCCGCGGGGGAGGGCGGAGGTCGGCATGGGCGGGCGGTGGGTGGTTCGGTAGGCCGGGGGGGAGGGCGAGGGGTGGAGGAGGAGGGCGGTGGGGGCGAGGGGCGGCGAAGGAGAGGGTGGCGGCAAAGGGGTGGGCGAGGTGGAGGGCGGGGGTGGCATGGGAGAGGTGGAGGGCGGCGGAAGCGTGGGCGAGGTGGAGGGCGGCGGCGGCGTGAGCGGCGGCGGCGGCGGTATGGGGGAGGTGGAGGGAGGTGGAGGCTCGGGCGAGGTGGAGGGCGGCGGCGGCGTGAGCGGCGGCGGCGGCGGTGTGGGGGAGGTGGAGGGTGGCGGCGTGAGCGGCGACGGCGGCGGTGTGGGCGAGGTGGAGGGAGGTGGAGGCTCGGGCGAGGTGGAGGGCGGCGGCGGCGTGAGCGGCGGCGGCGGCGGCGGTGTGGGGGAGGTGGAGGGAGGCGGAGGCGTGGGCGGGGGTGGAAGGCGGCGGAGGCGTGAGCGGCGGCGGCGGCGGTGGGGAGAAGGTGGAGGGTGGCGGCGGCATGGGCGAGGTGGAGGGCGGCGGCGGCGTGAGCGGCGGCGGCGATGACACCTGGAAAAAGTCTGAAACAAGTACCAAAAGTGGAGCCAACATGGAGGCCAAAATGGTCGCTAGACCTGCCAGTCTTTCGTCCTCGGCCGCATGATGAGCCTCGCCGGTACCTGCAGATCGTGCCGCAGTCAGAGATCTCGAGCGAGCCGCACGTCAGCGACTTGCGCTACCAGGCCCGTGTCCTGGCCGTCGGCATGTGGCTCGCGAAGCGTACGGGTCGGGTGCTACTCGTGCCGCGCGTCTCGAGGGAGAGTTGGAGGTGCCGCTGACGAAGTTCATTTCCGTTGGTACGCTGGAGCCCACTCGTTCCCCAAGCTGCAGCTGCGCCCCTCAAACTGGGAACGCCTCCTGTCGGACTCGTGCCGCACGGATCGCAAGCGGCTCTGGATCACACCTGACTGGCATCCCGATACCCGGCAGCCGCTGCCGCCTCGAGGGACACGCGCGACTTTGTGCAGGGTTCTTTGTGGGTGTACACATGGGTATGCCCTCATCTACAAAAAAGAAGCTCCAGTTGCTCCTGCCAACTGACGATCCGTCAACCCGACCAATCTCAAAACCTGTTCGCTCGCCGCACCGGCGCTGAGACTATCCACCGCTGGCTCGCCCACGGCCTGCGGTGGCTCGAGGCAGGTCATCTCGAAGGGCCAGTGCGTGCAAGTCTGCCCGCTGGCAAAGGCGCGCTGCCGCTGGACGACCGTCCGACTGTCCGCCCGCGAGCGAGGCGCAAAGGAGGCGTAGGCGACCACCCGCCCGGGCCGCCTCCCCTCAATCTCCTGCCCTGCCTCCTCCTCCGCCCCCATCACCGCCTCCGCCGCCTCCGCCTCCGCCGCCTCCGCCTCCGCCGCCTCCGCCTCCGCCGCCTCCCCTCCCCGCGCCTCCGCCGCCCGCGCCGCCTCTCCGCCGCCCGCCAGCAGCGGCGGCGTGTTGCAGTGCACTGTGCGCGAGTCCCACAGCACGGCGTCCCCCGCGCCTAGAAAGGCACGGCCGCGGACGTGTCCGAGGGACGTGTCGCGGGCATGACCCACCGCGTCTCTCCACGCGCCGCAGCGCACGAGGTGAGGCGGGTGCGGCGTCGCGAGGAGGCGGTCTCCCGACGGAACCATCAGGAACTGCTGCTCGTCCGACGTGCCCGGCCGCGCCGCGTACACGCGCCGCGTCAGCGCCTCGTGCCGCGCGTGCGACTGAGGCACGACCACGAACGCGCCTACGGGAGGGTTCCTGGAGGCTTCCCGGAAGGCGCTGCGGCAAACCGCGAGGCACGACCACAAAGGCGCCCGAGCGCTCGTCCTGCGGCCAGAGAGAGGTGAAGGACTGGACCGTCTGCAGGCCGGGCCGCGACCTGCCGTTCTGGTCGGTGTGGAACCAGCTCTCCGCGAGGCTCCACCCCGCCTCCGCCTCGCGCGGCGGCAGCAGCGAGAAGGCCTCAAACGACGTGAGGAGGTCGTCGGTGCCCCACACGAGCGCAAACATCTGCAGCAGCCGCGGCCGCGTCCGCACGTGCCACATGAGCCGACTCTGCCCGGCGCCGAGCCCCCACGCGATCCCGTACTGGTTGGGAGAGAGCGCCCGCCGCCAGCTCGCAGGGTCGGCGGAGCTAGCACCGGCGCCCTCCACAAACGCCCAAAAGAGCCGCCGCGCGAGCGCGAGGTCGCTGGCGTTGAGGACGTCGCGGATGACGACGTAGCCCTCGCGCCGCAGAAAGTCGAGCGCTTTGGGGCCTGGGTCGAAGCGAGGCACCACGACCGACGCGTTGACGGTGAAGGCGCCAGTCTCGGCGTCGGTGAGCGCTGGCTGAGGCACGACGGTGAGCCGACGGGCCGCCGCGGCGGCGCAAAGCACGAGGAGCAGCAGCGGTGGAATACAAGGGCGCATAATGCATGGCTCGCACAACACTGGGCAGACTCTCCCCACACCTCCCCACATCTCCCCACATCTCCCCACACCTCCACACACCTCCACACACCTCCACACATCTCCACACACCTCCACACACCTCCACACATCTCCAAACACCTCCACACACCTCCCCACACCTCCCCACACCTCCCCACACCGGCTTCGGCCACCGAGGCTTCGGCCACCGAGGCTTCGGCCAACGAGGCTTCGGCCAACGAGGCTTCGGCCAAGGCTGCCTCTGCCGCCTCCGCGTCGCAGGTGCCATCGCCGTCGCGCTGGCGGTGCAGATGCACGACGAGATGGAGGACAAGCGGAAGGGCGCGACCGTCGTCGCGACAACCATGGTGACGGTGCTCTTCACGGTCTTTGGGCTCGGAGGCAGCACGAAGATGCTTCTCGACAGGCTCGGCGTCGACCAAGGCGTTCCCCCGTACGAGGAGGACCCCGCCATGCTGCGCGCCGGCGCCTGCGAGGCGCTCTTTGTGGATGCCTGCTCGTGCATGCCCCCCCCCGGCCCCTTGCTCGAGCCTTGACGGCGACGTCGCGTAGGCGCTGCTGATCGACCCTCTCGTCGACGCCGACGCCGACCTCGACGCGGCCCAGCGCGTCAGCCGGCGCGGCCACCCTCTGCTCACGCGGAATCGATGGTGAACTGATTCTGAGTTACCTATCCATCAGGCGCGGCCACCCGCTGCTGACGCTGATCTCCACTGCGGCGCCGTCGTCGGTGCGCGCGGCCAAGGAGGCGTTGCAGCCGTCGTCGGCGAGGACGGAGCGGCTGACAGAGCCGCGGAGCAGCCGCGCCGTCCGGCAATCGTCCGGCTACCACGACCTGACACACGACCACTGTGGCGGCCTCGAGACGTCCTCCAAGGCGCCGCCCGCCAGGAGGGCAGGCTCCGCCTCGTGCCGCCTCCTCGCGGGCTGGCTCGGCCTCGTGGCGGGGGCGCGCGACACGGGCGCCGCGCCGGCCGTCGTCACGGCGTTCACCCAGCCATGAGCGCGCTCACGCGCGGGCGGAGAGAGCCGCCGAGCCCCGTTGCAGCCGTCCAGCAGAGAAGCGGGAACACCCCATCGCCACATCGTGGCATGCATGTGCATGATATTAGATATTTTGCATGGCTGTGTCTCCAGGCCGTGGCTGTGCGAGTGTGTGACCCGCACACAGAGTCACCCGTACACACCGACCATCGCGCTCCTACAGTACTCCCCAATAGCAATAGCACAGAACACATACAGTATACAGACATGTTTTTCTGCATGGTGTTTTCGTGTCGGTTTTGCGCGATTTTCTACTTGTTTTCATGAGAATTTCGCGTATTGCGACCAACGACCATGCTATCACGCCTTGCGACAGCCTGTCGGCGCTGCTGACCGTGCCATGATGCACAATTGATCACCTGCATAGCTCGCGACCTTAGTATCAAGCATTCAGTGACGACCTGATCGTACGGTCAGTAGGAAGGTGTACTTCCAGCGTGTGCACGCTTCTGGCGCAATGCGCGTCACAAACTGCCTCGGATTGGCTGCTGGCACTCTCGAGGCTATGCCTACGCAGCCTCGCGCGCATGGGCAGTTAAGAGGGACCACGCACCTTCTCAGGACAGCGCCGGTGCCTCTCTGTTGGACCGGCAAACTTGGTGGTCTCGTGTCACCAATGTGGGACCAGTGCGGCATCGCGCCATCGACAGCTCTGAACTGCGCCTCACCACTGACCGGGAAGGCCGCCAAGGGGCCAGCACAGGTCGCACATTGTGGCAGCAGTCAGCAGTGCATGTCTGATAGCTAGAGCAGCAGCGTCAGGGTCGCAGGGTCGGATCGTGTCAAGCCTCTCGCCCGGCCGGCCGCGTGCAGACGTCGGCCTGTCTGCTGTCTGGAGTGATCTGTCGGCGGTCAGTACGACCGATCAGGTCGGAGTTTTCTGATGGTTGGAGGGTCTATCTGTATGTACTCCTCGAGATCTCTCCAAATCTGCCCTCTGTTAGACCGGGTTAGATCGGGAAGTCGGTGCTAGTAGAGACTAATAGAGCCGGGGCCCCGTTTCCGCACTGCGGCGCGGCGCACGGTGCCTCCGGGGATCCCCGCGCCCCCCCAGAGAGGCAGACATTCTACATCCCATCCAACCCACCGAAACCCGTCTGGATGGATCGTCCGTTACACTGGGTTTAGCGTCGCGTTCTCTCATCGTGGTCTATGGTTTGCTAGACCCATGAGACCAGCCACGCCGCGCCCTCGGGCGCCTCCAGCGCCGCCCTCAGCCACGCCGCCACGACCGACGGAGACGTCAACTCCGCAGTCACATGGTATCAGCTCTGGTCGCGGCGGCCCAGCACCAGCCCAACACGCCAATCCACCCGCAGGCTCAACGCCTGCCATGCGGCAGTCACACGTCGGACTGTCATTTTGGGATCATTTCCAAGAGTAAAAAGCGGTCTAATAAGGCAATAGAGTAGAGCGGCGTACGGTTTACAAGAAATAGAAAAATTAGATATTCTTCTCTTTATGCCCCCATCCGAGACTGGAGACAGTCACACCCCAGTATCAGACCAGGGGGAGTGCCCCCCGCCCCCGCTTGCCCTGCCTGCGCAGAATACTTAGCGTGCCCCGATATAACGGCGACACTTAGCGAGGGTCACTGCGCAAGGAGAGGGTGCGAAGCCTTTTTCTTTTGTCCTCTCGGGGGAATGTTCTCTCGGCGCCCATGGCCTTCTGAGGTTTCGTACTAATGACGTCCTTCTTGGCACTTCGGGCGTCGGTGTGTGCGTGTCTGTTTTCGGGCGTCGGTGTGTGCGTGTCTGTTGTGTCTAATTCCCCCAGTATGCTACATAGGTCGCCCGCCGGCTCCCCCTCACTTCCAAGGTTTCTTCCCGAGTGCCGCCCCGCGAGCGGGAGGCCCCCAGTTCGAAACCTGGTCGACCCTTATATTTTTTTCACACCTGAGCGGGCTCAATTTTGCTCTAGGTGCCTCCTACGGGTTCGAACCCACGTTTTTCGGCCAGGCGGCCGGTGCGTTGGTCGTTCTCGTCATGGGATTTTACAAGCAATAGAGCACGTGCGTGCTGGGCTGGGTCTTTAGGCATGTGGGGTTGGCACTCCCCCATCGACCCTCATGACCTCTGAGATGGAGACACCAGTGGGTGTGGGACACCACAGCCAGGATACACTCGAAGGCTGGGTAAGCACGTAAGCAGTAGAGCCGCTCTAGTAGAGGTCGATACTCGACGCGTCCCACAGTGGTCTGTGTCAGCTGTCGGCACGCTGATTTTCCCACACAACCCCACTCTCTCCTTTCTCCCAGTAAGCTAAAAGTACAGTACAATCGCAATGCCTTTGGCAATGGGGAATGGCCTGTCCACAGTGCACACGCCCAGCCAGCACGTACACACCCCCAAGAGCTGATTTCTCCCGGTCACAGTGGGCCGGTCACGACGCATAACGAACATGATATAAATATCGCAAAGTAACATCGTTCCTCAGACGCCGCAAATGATGCATTTTTGCTCCTAACTCTATCGCAGGAGCGGAGGAGCGCGGGGCGCTCTCTCGAGCCGGCTCTCTCGCGCTCGGCTCGCCCACAGACTCGAGAGGCCCGCCCCACTGAGCCCTCCGGCTCCTAGAATAGCCAGATCTAGTAGCTGTGCCCCTCGGCGAAGCCCTCGCGCACAAAGGCTGCGTGCCCGTTGAAGCCGCGCGTGTCCTCGACGAGCGCCTGCATCTCGGACAGCAGCGCCTGCTGCTGCTCGAGGATCTCCGCCCGCCGCTCGCGCGACGGCCGCTCCTCCTCGTAGAGGCGCAGCGCCTGCTCACGGCGACAGGTGTGAAGAGCATCTTCACGGCTCCTCCACAGCTCCTCCGCGCCAAAGCGCGGCGCCGTCTGCACCGGCCCCTCATCTTATCTCGGCCACATCTCGGCCACCTCTCGGCTACAGCTGCCGTCTGCATCAGCTCCTCGTCGTGCGCGTCGAGGCCGCTCTGCCGGCGCGAGAGGGCGACGCGCGCCTCGATCAGCGTAACCTGCTCCCGCAGCGACGTCTTGGACAGGATCGTCGTCGCCGTCCACAGCGACGTTGGCGCCAGAGCCCCGGCTGGGACGGGGCTGCCGCCGCCCGCCGTGCTTGCGGCGAGCTCAAACGCGTGCGCGGTGTCGTCCTGCCGGCCCTGCAGAGCCGCCCACTCCCGCCTGCACTCGGCCTTCTCCTCCTCGAGCGCCTTCTTGTCCGCGACCCACTGCCGCCGCTTGTCCGAGGCGAGGCCCGACGAGACGACGTGCTCGAGCTCGCTCTGCAGAAAGGACATCTGCCGGATGAAAGCCTTGAGCGTCTCCTCGATCGGCGTGTCCTCGCCCGCCGGGCCGGACCCGCCCCGCTCCTCCACCAGCGTGGCGAAGAAGGACGAGACCTCGCGGTGCTGAGCAACCGCCGTGTCGCCGGCGGACTGACGGACAGATGACAGCTGACCATCGCGAGCGCCACCGCCTGGAGGGCCCTCATCCGTGAGGATGTCGACCGTGTTGGCCGCTGCGACAGCCTCGACCGTGTTGGCCGCTGCGACAGCCTCGACCGAGGTGGCCGCTGCGACAGCCTCGACTGTTGCCTCATCAAGCGTCACTGCATTCTGGTTCAGGGTGTACTTGTTTGCGCTCATAACGACGACCCCTCGCGTAAGGAAAATTTGCGTGCGGGCAGACGCCGGCGGCGCGAAGCGGGCAGAGGCGGAGAGCAGCGCTGCAGCGACCACCATCTCGGCAGGGAAGACGAATGCTCCACCGGGTGCACAAAGGGTGTGGGGAAAAGAAAAAGGAAAATTCGAGTAGCGGAAGTCCGTCCTCCCATTTTGGTTTTTGTTTTTCGAGCGGCTTGCACCAAGTGCTCCGGCCGATAACTCTTAGCCGGGAACTACGACCTCGCTCTGAAAGCCACTCTCTTCCTCTTCCTCCCCCTCACTCTCTGCTCTCTCTCTCTCTCTTACCGAGCGCATCGGCACTCGCTTCCCGAGAGTTTGGTCCCGGAGCCGCACGTGACGGGCGGCGGCGGCGGCGGCGGCGGCGGCGGCGGCTGCAGCCACGTGCACGTGTTGGCTCCGACCCACGTTACTCGGCCACCAGCGCTCTGGCAGCCGTCAGGATTGGTCTGCTCGGTGCAGTACCTGCGGTGCCTTGTGTACTGACGGCGCACCTGGTCGCGGCAGTGTGCGCCGGCAAACTCCGTGCAGTCGCAGATTGGGCGGGAGGGCGTGGGCGCGGGTGGCGCGCGCCGCCGCGCGGCCGCGAACAGCGACGGCGGAGAGGGGAAGGAGGGGAGCAACGCGGGAGGAGGCGCGGTCACCCAGCAAACCTATGCGCACAAACGCAAGCTCAAGGCAGTGAATGTCTAGACCTCCATCTCGACTCTCTGGGCGTGCCTTCCAGCCGCCAAAGGTCGAGCCTCGAGGGCTCGAATGCCAGGTGATGACGCCGTTCAGCGCAGCGGCTCCGCTTGGGCCGTTTGTGCCACAGTATTTTGTGTCGCCCACCTCAAGAAAGTCGTACGTGCCGCAGCCAGCCGGGTTCCCCTCCCAGCTAGGGTCAATCGAGTTAGGGTCGTACGAGTCGTCGTAGTCAAAGTGATTTTGGACATCAAAGGCCGCCACGACGAGCGGCGTCGGCGGCACGTTGGTGATGGTGCACGCCTCGTTGGGACCGTAGTTGTTCGGGTAGTGAGGTGATGTGGCGCACGCGCCATCGCTGGTGAGCATGCACGGGCCGGTGATTTGGACGAGACCTGGACGTGGCGGGGGCTTTGGCGACGGCGGCAGCGGCGATGGGGTCGGCAGCGAGGGCGGCGGCGGCAACGGTGGTGGCGGCGTCGGTGGCGGCGGCGACGGTGGCGGCAGCGACGGCGGCGTCGGTGGCGGCGGTAACGGTGGAGGCAGCGACGGCGGCTCCATTGTCGAAGGCGGGTTCGACGCCGGCGAATAGGCACCGGTCACGGTGGCGGCGCCCGCCTTGCCGTGGTAGCCGCCAACGGCGATGTAGTACTGCGTGCCCGCCCTGGGAACGAATCCGTCGATGGCCGAACCAAATTGGAATCCCTGGCTCTGTGGTCCTCGGCCACAGGTCCCGCCGCTGTCGCCGTCGCACGCCACCATCTTGAGGGTGCCACAGGATCCCTGAAAGACGGAGAGGTCGGTGTCGAAGCCGCAGGCGGTAAGGCTGAGCGCCACACCTGGCCGCACGTCCTCGAGCCTGAGCCAGTAGGCGCTGCCTACGCCAGTGAAGAAGCTTCCCGAGCAGAGGTTTGCCTCGTCGGGCGCCGAGTAGCCTGGCATCCCTCGGTTGTTTGCGCCCACCGAGAAGGGGTCGGTCGGGGAAAGGGTTGGGGACGAGTCACCAAACGCCACCGCTGCCTCGCATGAGCTGCCGGGCGACAGGTAAGATCGGGATTGTGCCTTCCCACGTTGAGCAATGGCATCCGCAAAATCGCCGGCGAGGACGCAAGCTTTCCCGTCCCAAACCTCAGAGTTGCTGTAGTCGCAGGTGTCCGACATTCGCAAGAGCCGAGGCCCGAACGCACAGCGACGCGTGAGATCGCAACTTCTATCTTTGGCCAAATTGCAAATTATGTATATGTACGTGTAAAAGAGGGAAGCAGTCGAGAGGACAGGGGAGGGACGCGGCCAGAAAGAGGGCGGGCGCCGAGTTTCGAAAGCCGGCGCTTTCGCGCGTTCGAAGAGGCTTTGCACGGAGTTTGTGCAAATTTGCGGTTGGCCTTCGCGCTGCGGCGAGATGGCACCGCAGGCGGCGTGCGTGCACGAGGGCGGCGGCGTCGAGCGCCGAGCAGCACACCACGAGCGCGAGCGGCAGCGCCGACGACGGGAGGCGGCGGGCGGCTCGACCGAGCCGGCGGCGGAGGAGGCTAGAGCTTTACAGTGGGTTGCGGGCATTAAGAAAACAGGATGCCGGCACGCCGCTGTTTCTAAGCCTTTCCACATCCCTCATCCACCCCACGCCGTGGTTTCTTAGCTCCGGCCGGCACTCAAGTCAGGAGAGAGCCGACCCGAAGGATTTTTAGGTAAGAGGTAAGTAAGCTGCGGTCCGCGAGGGCGATGCCAGACAGAGTCTGCCGCCGAGTCGGCTCTCTGGATGACAGGAAGACGCACACACGCCTCCATCTACTCCACTCAGAACACCGCAGACTTGGAAAGTGACAAGTGCGCGCGCCGCAGGCGAAGAGAGATTTTGAGCCGGGGCTCCCATTCACATTCGTGTCCGGCCCCTTTTCTCGGGGCCGCGCCTGCGGCACGGCGTGGTTTCTTAGATTTTTGCGGAAATCGCTCGGCGTGGTTTCTTAATGGTACGTTTTCTTAATGCCCGCAACCCACTGTACAACTCACGCCGCGCGTAGGGCCCTTAGGGGCCTAGAGAACACAACCCCCTCTCCCTTCTCTCCCAGTGAGCTAAAAGGACGTATTACAACTGAGCTCGGGCGTTGACCGCACCGCGTACCCTCCCCACTCCCGCCTCTCGTTCGTTTGTGTCACACCACGCGGAACGTATGTCGTATCTCCATCGCGACGGTGAAGGGGGTGAACCGCGCCATCCTTGATCGTCGTGCAAAGCTCGCTTCCGAGCTCTCACGCCGCGCGTAGGGCCCTTAGGGGCCTAGAGAACACAAACCCCTCTCTCCCTTCTCTCCCAGTAAGCTTTTAAAAGTGTCCGTACATGTACGTACAAGCAAGCTAGCTACAACTGTAGAGTGTAGTCTGTACACGACAGGACAATCGCGGCGGGCGGGTGGTGGTGCGATGTGTGCGTGCCCCCCCCCCCCCCCAAGGCCCCGCCGGCGAAATATTTTTTGTTGCAGAACCATAATGTTTGAATACGAGCGCGCGGGGTAAAGGACCGCTCTGCTCACATGCCGTACGTGGCATGCACTTCTCAACACCTGCGTTACTCTTCTGGGTCACTTGCTAGGTCGACCCACTGTCGTGGCTCGGCCCCTCTCTGCGCCCTCCCGCGCTTCTCCCCAGCGCCGGCCTCGCTGCGGCGTCCCGTGCGTCGCCACTCAGCCGCGCGTCGCCGCCTCGAGCAGCTGCAGAAAGACGCCGTCGCTCCCGACGACGCGCGGCCGCTTCCAGTCCGCCTCGCGGGCGTACTGTGGGGTGGAGACTTCCGCGGCGACGGCCATCGCCGCGTCCATGTCGAGGTACTGGTCCACCGCCTCGACGCAGCGCGGCAGCTCCGCGGTGGCGGCGGCGTCGCCGGGCACGCCGCGCTCCGCCGAGACCTCGGCCGGAGCGACTCCCTGCCGCGCCGCGACGGCGGCGAACACGTCGTCGATCAAGCCTGGCGTCGGCCAGCGCGCCGCGCGGTCGGCGGGGGTGCGCACCGCTGCTTCGCAGCCCAGCCGCAGCTGGCGCAGCAAGGCGGCGAGCTGCGTGCGCTCGTGCCGCAGCAGCGCCCTGCAGAGCGCCGCCGGGTTGCGCCGCAGCGGGGTGCACGCACACGGGCGCGTCAGCTCCAGGTCGGGGTCTGTGTCGCAGAGGGCCGCCTGCAGGACGTGCGCGCGCTCGAGCGCGGCGGGCTCGCCGCCGTGGACGATGCGGACGTGCGCGTCGCCGCCGCAGCCGAGCACGCCGCGGACGTGCAGCGCCGCGTTCGTCGCCGGGAAGTCTGCGAGCACCTTCTCAACCTCGCTCACCGCGTCGCGGTGCGCCTGCCTCGGGTCGCCCGACGCGCCTCCCACCTCGCTCACCTCGAGCTCGATCGGCGCCGCGGGGTCGCCGGCGAGGTGCGGCGGCGCCGCTCCAAAGTACGCGACGAGCCACGAGGGCAGCGCCTCGGCGGGCGCCGCGGCGAGCGCAGCGTGCACGGCGGCGGCGCTGAGGCTAAAATTGTTTGCGGCGCCGTCGTGCGCGAGGAGAAGCTCGTGCAGCTTGCGCCACGCTATGGCGGCTGCGTCGGGCCGCCCCTCCGACGCGAGCGCGCACGCGCGCCGCGCGAGCTCGGCGCCCACGTACGGCAGCCCCGAGGGGCGGGCGGCGCTCGACGGCTCACCAAGTGAACCGTCGAGCGCGGGATGGCGCCGCAGCCGCGTCGCGTACGCGACGGCGAGCGCGGTGGCGTCGTCAAACAAGCCCTGCCGCAGCAGCCCGTCGAGCAGCAGCGGCACCGGCGCCTGCGCGATGGCGCCGGCGTGCGCCGCCGCCTCGCCGCCCAAGCTGCGCAACAGCGCCGCGCGCCCGAGCGCCGCCTGGCGCCGCTGCCGGAGCTCGGACAGCTGCACCGGCCGCTCGAGCGGGCAAGGGCGGGCCGCCGCCGCGCGGCTCGCGGCGAGGGCGCCCTCGGTCGGCTCTGCGCGGATGTCGAGGCGCCCGTCGCCGTCGTACGCCGCGAAGACGAGCCGCCCCGCCCCGCCCGGCGGCAGCCGCGACGAGCCGTCTCCAAAGGCGCCGGCCGCCCCCGCCGCCTCGGCGGGGGGATCGGCGGCCTCGAGCACGTAGCGCGCCTCGGGCGGCCGCTGCTCGAGCGCGACGATACAGCCCGACAGCGCCGCCGCCCGCCTCGAGAGCGCGCCGGCGAGATCGGGCGCGTGCAGGGCGCCCCCGCCGGCGGCGGCGGCGGCGACGTCGTTTTCGAGCCGCGCCGACAGCTCAAACATCGACCTGGCGGCGCCGCCGTAGTCGCCGTATTGGAGCTGCAGCGCGTAGAGGAGCTCGTAGGCGTTGGGGCCGGCCGCGCCGTGCACGTCCGAGGCGGGCGCGTGCCGCCGGAGGGCGAGGAAGAGCTCGGAGCGCAGCTCGCCTACGCCACAGCCCACAATGGGGTGGGGTGGCAGAGAGA